CATCAGCCAATAGTTGAAGGCTTTGCCACAGTAGAGGGAGTAACCTTTTACCTGCTGGATCAGGCAAGATTCCAATGGATAGTTTTAAGCTAATATGAGGATGCTAACGGGAGTTATGGTGAAAAAGACATCTGAAAGGAATTATGGGCTTTCTGTGGTATTTTCTGTTGATTGTGGATGTAAGACTTGCTGAGACAAATTATTTTGTTGGGGGTACATGTATTGGCCCTTTGTTGATGTAAAATCGTTGCTTTTTCAGAGAATGCCCTGTTCTGTTAATGACAAGGCTTTGAAGGAAAAGTTGGACATTATTTGGAATTTCCAAATGGTTGGACAACGCCTTTACTGATTCTACAGATATGGTTATATCCTTGATTGGCATATATCATTGAGATCAAGAATCTAATGATGAATAATAGATACATGTACAAACCGTTTTACAAAAAAAGAAGCTGATTTGCCCTGGAAGTGTGCAATATCTCATTCACTCGGCTAAAACAGGCATAATAATAAGCCTTGCTCTCATCGCAGATGGTTGATTCATTCGTCAAACGGTCCAACCTTAGTTGAAACTGCCTGACGCCAAAAGTTCGAACTTTACCAAAAGGAGACCAAAGTCCATTTTGACTCATAAAATGTAAAGATCCTTCAGAATGAAGGTAAAATAGCATGGAGCTGGAGGAGACGTGTTGATGTCAAGTGGCTTCCTCCTTCCAAGGCCTGAAACTACAGCGTGAGCAGCAGGAAAGGTGCCAGAGAGAGAAGCATTGGCAGCGCCAGCAGGCATAATGGCATTAAGGCTCTCTAATAGGAGAAGAGGGCTGGTTCACCCCAGGCTGAAAGACTGCAGTATGCACACAAACAGGCTTGTCTGCAGCCATCCAAGACCCATTTTCCCCAACGCTTACAAGCGCACAAAGGCTGGCATCCTGCTCTCACGCTCCACATCACGACCTGCCTGTACAGGGCGGGCTTGTCACGAAAAAAGCAGCTTCCTTGGGCTGTGTTTAGAAGTGTGTGTGTGTGTGTGTTTTGTGCTCAGTCATGAAGGCAATATTCAAGCACCAACAAGATCAAAAACTTGCTACATCTCCTTTTCAAGTTCGATTAAATCTGGCCAATATTTTTCCAAGTATTTAAGCACGCTAAATCACATCTGATTACTTCTGCCTTTGATGTTGAAACGAACATACTGGATCCAGAGAGAGCAGAAGTGACCTCAGCAGTGGATTAAGAACAAAGCCTTAAAGCATTCATCCTCTGTTTATAGAGCAGGAAACAATGAAGATCTGCTGCTGCTCTTCTCAAGTCAACGGGATGGCTGGCTGGAAAACGGTCAAAATGGCAAAAACAAACACACCATAACCACAGGTGGGCATTAATTAACAGTGGTATATTAACATGACAACCAGATATAACACAAACTGCTCTTCAAACAAAATTATACCTTTAAAGGAGAGACTTCTGGAGGTTACAGGAATGTGTAGTCCCCTACGGAGGTCACATGGGAAATAAAATCCACCCGAAATCAGAAGTTTCATCGTTTCACTTGTATTTATTGGTCCAACAATACCATTTGTCCTTTAGGGGATTTCTTCATGCAGGTTCCTCATCACTGATTATTATAGCAGCCTGTCTAAGCAGAGGAACTAAAGCATCTGAATCAACCGATTAAACTTCTGAATGAACCCAGATCAGTTAAAAAAAAGCTGAAATAGTCCTACAGCTTTCCATAAAAGCAACACAAATGTTGAAAACTGCAAATAAATGAAAACCAGCATCTTTTAATGAAATGTGATTATCTGGTTGTATGCTATTGCAAGAGATGGTCACCAACCACGCAATGGAGTTATTTTCCTCGTTGAAGACATAAAAAAACTTCCTAAATGAAAAAACTGGTCTGTGGTAGCAGTGGATATGGCCCTGTGTCTGTGTGGTAACGGGTTACAGAGAGCTGGGGAGAAGAGGTACGCTGCAAGTAAAACACACATTTAGCCCTAAACACCGAGTTTACAGAATAAAGCCAGTAAATCGGCTGAACGTCTTTTGAGCATGTTTATGACAGAAACCACAATTATGTGACGAGTCAAAACAAACAGTAAGTCTCAGTGGAACAAGAGGAAGTGAGCTAGTGTTAGCCTCACCTTCTGGTAACTCGAACAGAGAGAGAAACTGGTTTATTTTGGACCTTGTTGCAGAATTAGACATCCTACTAAAAATAAAATAATGCCACGAAAATCAAAACCTGCCAACTACATACTGGAGAACATGGAAGTAAAATTCATAAAAATCAACAAGCGAGAATATTGTCATCATTGATACAAAAATCATGATACAAGCTATGGCTTTGTTGAAATTCATATGAAACTGTGCTTTTAATTTGGCTTCATGGCTTTTATTGTTTGAAGATGTTTGTTTGTGTTTTAGCATGTCTTTTCATTGACCAGAACTTTATCCTGTTTGTGTTGAGACGGGACAACCCCTCCCCCGCATAGTCAGGAAACTCCTACGGAGTGCAGCAAGGCCAAAAAGGCCATTCAATTCAAAAATACTTTATTAATCCCAGAGGGAAATTGATTAAATTAACCCGAGCAGATCCTGTACATATACCGCTTCGCTGCCATTCCTTTACGCTGATGCTTGCAGTGTGAAACCGGTGTCGGTACAGGATCGGCTCGGGGTCCTTCGACTGCCGATGACGTCAAAGTAGTTGATTGGCTGAACATGAACCTTACGGAAGTTACGTAATCACGTTACGTTGGTCCAGGCAAATTTTTCTGTTGGAAAGATGGACAACTTTTACAAAGAAATCCATCATTACCTCTTTGAAAATACACTTTTAGCATAGAGCTGCATGTATATTAGGGCTGAACGATTAACAGCATTTGCAATTAAATTGCAATGTGACAAAAGGAGATTTTCTAATCGCAAAGGCTGCAATTTGGCAGCGAGGGGTTAGCGCAATACTAATATACGTGGAAAAACCCATAGGAATGCTAATGCTAATATCACCGATTACATTCTGACAAATTATGAATTAGAAACGAGCCAAATGATGACATTTGGAGTCTTATAGAAAGTAAAACTACCATCAATCAAATAAGTACAGACAGGTATTTTAGTAAAGCCAGAACACTTTTAACTCCAGAGTTTTGGCTAGCAGCTATGAGCGTAACTGAACTACGCATGGACAAGACGTCAAAAACTCTAAACACAAAATACTTCAATAAACGGGACACACTTCTTTCCTGCAAATACAATTTCACAGGTGTTGCTAATACCTATGATTCTTCAAGGGATGTGCTCAAAGAGGAGTTCAACATTATGAATACAATATAGTGTTTTATTTTACAAATACCATTATAAACACAAACTTACGTCGTAAGAAACATTATTTTAATATAGGAACTGCTAAATTCTTTCCAGCAGTATAGATGTGTAGTGTATTTTGTCTGAGTGGGTTTGCCGTACTTTGACGTCATCGGCAGTCGAATGACCCCGAGCTGATTTTGCACCCTAGCAGATCTTGCACCGACACCGGGTTAGGCTCCTACAGGTCATAAATCACTCCCAGGCGGACATGCCTGATTTAAATTAAGTGCTGAATGTTCCAACATGAAACAATTTGTTTTAAAATAATCCAATATTAATTACCCTTTTTTTTTTGCCTTTTAAGTTAATTGCTTTTTTTTATTAATCCAAAATGTATTTATGTGGGGACAATGTTTAAAATGAGGCACAACAAAACATATTTCACAGTTAACTAGCTACAATAGGTGACGTGGTGGAAATAGACATTTCTTACAGTGTAGATCCACAAAGCGACGTTCCATAAACACACGAGCCGTGATTTCTGGGCAGTTATTTATTATTTTCTGTAAAGTCATAAGGCATAGCACAAAGGTAGGGTGTGTGTTAAACCCTGTGACTGAAGGCTGATAAGTAGGTTGAAGTTTAAACCTCCTGTTGGCTTCCCGACCCTCAATGCTGCAGTGCACCGCCGCCATCTTACCTCCCTATTCTCTAACCGTGGAACTGAAATACGAGGGCGTCAGAAATGTTTGTTCCCTAAATTAACATCCCATTTCTGATCGCCATTTGCACTTCTCATCAGAACCTACACAGAATAAGAAACGTTTTCATTCAACACGATTAAATAAACAAACGCGATTCTGTTAACCAAACACGCCCACACCAAAATATTAGACCTGTGGTTATGGAAAATGAGACAATAAATGGTAACCTATCTTTATTCGCTGCTGTTATTTTTCCACTGATATTAGTATATATAACGAACAGTAATTATACGAGTATTGTCAACAAACTTGGATTAAACAACTTGTCTCCACAATAAAAATTCACAGAGACGTGCTGTCGCTTTGATCAAGCCGCAAACTTAACGCAAGGTAATGTGGTCGCACCTTTAAAACAAACGTGGCGGATATTACTTGCATTGTAATTGTCTAACTGAATAAAATAAATTACAGATTTATTCACAGGCTTGTTAGAAGAGGAGCGGCGCAGATGTTTATTTAGTGAGTTATTGTAAAATAGCTGCCGCTTCTAGGTGCATGGGTTATGGGAAAAGGATAACAAAAAAAATACTGAACATGTTTCATAAGCCTAAAAAAACACCTGACCTCAAGGTACAAATTCCAAAGAATTCCTGTAGTGTCAAAATATGAAGCTTTAAATGAAACATCCGGTTTGAACTTTTCAAATATAAATGAATGAACGCGCTGGTTGAGAACTTGCGTGCCTATATTAACATGTGTTTTAATATCTTCTTAAACAAACATTAATTAAATTGGTTGTAAGTGTAGTTCAGTGGCATATTTGTGTTTTCTTTCACTTACATAATGAAGAGATTTAACTTTGAAGGTACAACACATCAGCTTCCGGTTAAGCTTTAGCTAATGCTAACTCGCTTCACTAAGCTAACAGCAACAATACGATCGAAAATTTTAAATGTACGCCATAGAAAGCCATGTTTTTCTTACCTCCAGTGCCAGAGCCGACGCCGCTACAACCAGCAGCAGTAAAGCCACTTGCTCCCCCATGACGTTTCGCTGAAAAAACGCTCCTAAAGGCGACGTTTTCTCCAAAAAGAATGCGGTTAGGAAAAAAAGCCGTGTACTCGCCGCCGGTGACTCCCGTTGTCTGACGGTGAGCGGTACTGAAACAGCACAGCTGCTCCGAGTCGGATCACCTGACCGCAGCCGAGTGGGATTAGAACGCACGCGCAGCCTCCATCACGCACGTGTCTTCTTCCTCACGAGTCATTTATTGTCAAATTTCTGACATTCAAAAACACCAAGAAACTGTAACCAGTGTTTATTTAAAAAATCATCTTTGATTCACAACAGTCATAAACAAGTAAAAAAAACATTCACAGTTAAATCATTTCAGATTATGTGTGACTGCACAGCACACATCCAGGCCTTGCACATCAAGTTTCTCATTTAAAAACCACTCCAGTCGTTTAAACGTCACGTTTAAAATCAGCATGTGAAACAGAAAAGTCTGTCATCTGCTCAGAGTGACTCCAGTGGTGGTGACAGGCTCCCCTTCCTTGGTGGTGTGGTCTTCACCTTCATCAAAGCCAGGCACAGCTGGTTTGGAGTCATTTTCATTATTACTGAGCAGCAGCAGCCTCCTTCTTGACCCACATTTTCCTTGGATCATTATTTCCCATCATTGCTGCTCATACTTCAAGCCTCTTTTCAACATCTGTTATTCAAGTTTTCTAAAAGGATTAAAACAATGTTGGATGCGAAGCCGCCTCCAGGTCCAAATCCAAAGGATTGGGATTCACTTGAGGGTGTGTCCTGGGTAAGGTGGAGGTGGGGAGTAGCTACGCTCCGGAGGAATATCTGGGGTGTAGGGTGGGGGGTGCACAGGCTGGGGGTACATCTCGTAACTGTAACTGTATGGCGGAGGAGAATCTGAGATAGGGAAAAAGAAAGACACACGTGGTTATTATACCAGAGTTTAATGTGTCACTACCTCCATCTAGTGGTGGAAAAGAGAAACAACGCTAACCTGAGCAGACATGAAACTTTGTTCTTTATCAAGTCAATCGTTATACATTATAATAAATCAAATACATATTAAAGACGGATACTTTACAGGAAAAGAGAAATTGTGTTCAGGTTCTCTTTGACAGAAAGTCAAACACACACACACGAGCATTCATGCTGCAGCAGGTCGAGTAGCGCCTTCGAGAAAAACTATAACGGCTGCAGGGAGGCGTGAAAGGAGCTCACCCCGCACGCCGGGAAGGAGATACACGGCTCAGAATGAAACATGATGAATAAATAATGGAGAGATATATCAATGCTAAGGTGGGCGGGTGTGACAAAACACCAGCTCTGAAGTGTAGACGATGGAAACATAGCTGCTTCGTTCCCTCAAACAGGTACTGACTACATGTAACAGGAGAGGAGAGAAGAAAAATGGCCACGTTTGGTATTTCATACTGGAACGTGTTTGTAAAAGAGGTGGAACGGTGAAGTTACAGGAGGTAAAGACGGTAGAGGACTTTATGTACTTAGGCCCAAAGAAGTGTGTGAAGCAGGGTGGAACAGGTGGAGAAAAGTGTTTCAGCACAAATGAAAGGAAAGGTGTAGAAGACACCAGAGAGGAAGACCTAATAGGAGATTTATGGATGTGGTGAAAGAGTGTGAGGGTACAGAAGATAGGGATAAATGGGGACAGATGATTGGCTGTGGCGACCCCTAAACTAAAAAAAGCCTGAAGAGAAGAACAATCGTAATCGTGGATGTTTTAGAAAAAAATCCCCTTTGCATTTAGGATTTTTTTTCCTCGCAGCCACAGATATTACTGCAGAAACATTTTCAGACATCTTTGGAAGCGGCTGCTTAGACAAAGATCTTTTTATTTCATTAAATCTTGAAGTGAACAGCGACATGGCCAAAATAGGCAAGTATCGAAACACAGTTACAAGAATTAGTTAAGCTCGGGGACAAAAAGTGATGACATTTACTAAACCGAACAGAGCTGCAGCAGTCTCAATGAAACTGCTGCGTGCCTCAAGGACGTTTGGTTCTGATTCAAAAGCACTCAGTGTAACTTTGTCCTTTTCGAAGCCGAGGGGGCTGAGTGGACAAGTCCTCTTTAGCAAAGTTCAAATCCCGCAAATCAAACAGAAAACAAGTTGACATTAAATTATGTTAAATTCAACTTTAAGACAATTGGCAGGAAGCTTTATTTTACTTTCAGTTACAGCGCAGGTCATAAAACTAGAATGGGGTCGCCAACCTGGTGCCCCCAGGGGGCCTATGAGGTGCCCTCAGGCCTGTTATAAGAACAGCACAATTCACCACTCAGGTTTAAAGTAATATTTTCTGCTGCTATTTTTACTAAAAACATGCCAGCAAAGATGATTGTGTGGAGTACAAAAGAGCAAAGCCAATGAGTCATACAACGAAGCTCTGGGAAAGAGTGGTGACAGCTAGGGTTAGAAAAAGCATGATGGTGCTGAGAGAGGAGCTGTGGTGCACGAGGAGGTCTGGAGTAGCAGAGAAGTAAGTTAAAGTGGTGAACAATGCTGCGAGACAGCAGTGAGGTGTGCTGCAGGAGTGACAGAAGAGTTGGTGGCGGAGTGCATCAAGGATAAGTTCTAAGCCCCTTCTTGTTTGCGTTGGTGATGGACAGACTGGTAGATGTTAGACAGGAGTCTCCATGGAGAACTCTCCCTGAGTTACCACAAGGACCAAGGACCAATTTGGTGTGCCACTCCAAAAAAATTCTTTGGCCCCGTCTGGCCACCCCAATAAAAATTTTCTGGAGACGCCCCTGTGTGTGAGTGGCATCCTCTCCGAAGCAACCTGCCGTGATGGGACTTCACTGTGGTTGTAAGCTCCGACCCACCTGGATAGCCCTGGGTCACCGTGTTGATGTAGGAGGTCCGGAACACTCCGACCCGAGTGCCACGCCTGTTCTTCAAGCACACACACATGCACAGGAACAAGGCCGCCACCGCTCCCATCAGAAACACCACGCCGAACACGATACCGGAGATAGCAGTGCCCCTGTAACACACACACACGCACACAAACACACGCACACACATACACACACACTGAGCCTCCTAAAACATTCCCTCCTCTGCCATTACTTCTACATTTGCTGCCATGGAGATAACATCTCAGCGTATGTAACTCAGCTGTGTGTGTGTGTGTGTCTGTAAGATGTTCGTGATCAGAGTTAGTCAGCACGTCAGATTCAGCCCTCGCAGACTTCAAAATCACGAACTCAAGATGTTCCAGGACGAAGGAAAAATGATTGAAAATAAGAGGAGAGAGTTTGACAATCGCAGCTTTGTCTTCAGGGCAAACAAAAGTCTGACAGCTAGCGCTGCAGCTGCGGTGATGAGTAACGACAGCAGGAGATCAAAAGGTCAGATCCTCTGCAGCGCCTTCTGGTTTGTTGAAGGACAGCTGGTGTGTGAATTAGTTCTCTCTAATCTGAATCTTTCAGCCAGAATCGAAAGAAAAAATGTTTCATATATCTGCTCACCAACCGGTGGCTTTTAAATCCTAAAACAGAAAAATGAGCATGGAGAAGTCACTCCTCCTCCAAGCTGAGTGGGAGCAGACACCAGATAATGCACTCTGGACTTTTTATTTCCAGCAGGAGATAATAGAAGGCTTCCAGGCAACCAAGGCTGTTATAGCAGCTCAAATGAGCCCCTTTCCTCCCCGGTCTCATGAAGGTGTCTGTCCAGATTGGCCACTGACGTCAACCGAGATTTACATTAAAAAAATCATCATTTACAGCCATTTCTTTACAATACGTGTGGATAAAAGTGAAATAAATCCCTAGGTGAATGAATTCTGTGATGTTTTTGTGGTTCAAAAGGTTCAGAGAAGCAACAATTCAATGAGATGTGAACTTACGAGAGGACATCCCCCACATAGGCGTAGTAGGAGCAGCAGAAAGGTGGTGATCCATCACAGCAGTACTCTGTACAACCTTCACAGTGGGCCTCCGTACCACCTGCAAGAACACGTCCATATATCAGCTGCTTATGTAGATAAATGTTAGTACTGCAGGGTATGTGCAGAAGCCTCACAGTCAGTTTCAATACCTTTACAACAATTCAAGAGCTACGAAAAAGAATTATGACGTTATCAAATCCCTCTTCTAACTAATAGTCGTATTTTGTGACTGAAACAAAAAAATCTATTCTGAAATCAAAACTTTAAGGCAAAGTTTATTCATATTTGTCAAAGTAAATAGGGAGCCTTAAGCCTGGGGCACACCGGAGGTGCCCGTGGTTTTGAGGAGTCAGGTGGTCACCCAGGACGCGCCGCGCCGCTGAGCGCTTCTTGGAAAGTCGTGCGATAGTGACAACATCACGCGGGACTTGAGAACAAGAAGCAACTCGTGATCAGACTTGCCGTCATGTTTTGTGAGACTCAGGTTCATTAAAAGTGGGTAAGTACGCTATTTATTAAAATATTCTAAGACCAATAGTACTTTAAAGTAGGGATGGACAATATATCGACATCAATATTGAAATCGACCGATGTTAGTTATTTTTTAACATATCAGTATCGGTTCGATGAAAAAAACCGGGCCGATATTAACAACAGATATTTTTTCCGTCTTGTCTCCATTTGTTTGCCTGTTTCAGAGGGTGAGGGGGTGATGTGTAGTTGTTTAGTCATGTGACAATGAATGAAATCATCTCAGAACTGTGTGTGGTGTGTGTACATAATAACGTAAATTCAACTTTAATAAATTTCATTCTATACAAAATCTGCTGATTTTAGAAGCATAAATGTTCACACCTTGACTTTGTTTTTACTCCTGATTTTGGTTACTATTGTTGTCACTGCTATTGTTTTTATGATGTTTTTATTGGTTTGAGGTATTTGCCCTGATTTTACTCATGCTGTACAGCGCTTTGTGATTTATATCTGTGAAAGGCGCTATATAAATAAACTTTACTTACTTACTTACTTACTAATGTGTATATCAGTATCGGCAAATATCGGTTATCGGCCATAACTGATCTTTATATTGGATATCGGTATCAGCCCAAAATTTTCATATCGGTGCATCACTACTTTAAAGTTATCAAAACTATGGTTGGGTTTGTGCAGTAAAGTCGCTTCGCGTCGTAACCTCTGTTGTAAAGTACTCCACAACCTTGTTAACAGCCGCAGTGCCACGGCACTTGAGATAGAACTAGCGCCTATCTTATGCGCCCCAGTGCTTCTGGGATGCGGCGCGTCGCCCCCGTGTGCCCGCTCTCATTAACTATAATGGCTTCATTTAAAATGGCGCCGTGTTCGCCTCCGGTGTGCCCCAGGCTTTAAGTCTCCTCCCCCCTTCCAGTCGGCTCATGGGGTTCCCGGAAGAACAAAAAAAAATGAATGCAGGCCAACGGGGCTAAAATCGCTATTTTCTAATCCACTTTGTCTACACCCTGGATCACACATATGTTGTACTTTAATTTAAATGAAAAGTAATGATGGGTGTTTCGACCACGCCTGTCACGTACTTTGAGTTTTACCAGCTTGTAAAAGTTCGTAATTAGCATGACTACAAATCAGACATCCGCACTTCACATATGTATTACCACAGAATCTCCTCTCCCCTAGCGTAGATGCTACTTACCACATGGCCAGATTTATGGTGGTTTGTAATAAAAATGAACTTGTCATCTGTTGTATAATTGCTTTATACAAGTTATTGATCACTACTGTTTGTCAATCACACTTATCATGAGGATAATCATGGTAGAGCCGAACATAATGTGATCATGAGGATGTAATCAAGGTAATCTTGGTGGAGGTGTGCAGCTTTGCACGCACATCAGGGAATGTATAAGGAGCAGAGCAGAGCTCAGAGCTGTTAGAGCTGCTTGTTGGATTCTACCTGACGAGGTTCATGGATTACGTTTTCTAACTGGGGTGTTCAGCTCTCCACCCATAAGCAACGGTAAGAGAAATGTTTCGTTCATGATTGATAACTTGTATGAATGCCGGTTGAATAAAGCCTTGTTGTTCATCTGATATTCAAGTTGTGTTTCATTGTTTCTGGCGTCGACTTGACAACGATCCTGATTAAATAAATATAAAGTGTAAAAAGAGACTTTGAGTCTTTTAAGGTAATTAAAATAAAATAAAACATTTTATTTTAGAACATTTTTGGCGTCACGAACAGGATCAGTCAAGCTATTCCAGCAACAATGAAGTGTTTTTGGAGAAGCAAAAAGGAGCCGAGTGCTTCTGGGGAGGGAACGCCGATTCCCGTGCCGATTCCCGGCTGGGAAACGGAGGAGTTCCGAACCATTGGTGATATGTTAAGGCAGCGCGGTGGACGCCCTGGGCCGTGGGGAGAGTTAAATGGAGTGGTCAGCCCCGCCGTGGTGCTGGACCGTTTGACGCGGATAGAAGTTAAAGAAAAAGCGCCGCTGGCAGGAGTGAGAGATATGATGTGGCTTTTTGCAGAAGCATGGAAAAAACAGGAGTTAGAATTGAGCAGTTGTAGAGAGCGAGCGGCGCAGGAGAAAATCCATGCTGAAGAAGTTGGAAAATCATGCTCAGAGTTTGAGCAGAGAGTGTGTGTGATGGGGAAAGAGCTAAAGCATGCTCAGAATGTTTTGGATAAAACGCTGACTTTTGTGTCTCGAGCGCAAAGGAAGGAAAAGAAGCGACCTCGTAGAACAGGTCCTGCTCAGATCCGGGCGTTTGTAAAGAATGTTGGTGAAGATTGGAACCCGGAGAAATGGAACGGGGATCTTTGGGGGGATGATGAGGAGGAGGAGTGGGCGATTAAACCTGACCCACCACCTCAGCCCTTGTATCCATCATTACAGGGGATAAAGATGTCAGAACAAAGACCTATTACTAGGCGTCGGCGAGAACAGCAAATTATTCCACCAATACTGGTAGATATGGTGGATGATCAGGGACGGCCGGAACTCGATGAGGCGGGTAATATAAGAAGGATGTTACAACAGCAGCCACAACCCGCCCCTAGGCTGCTAACAACGCTAGAGGATTATTCACAAGATGAGTTAAATCACATGAATGGGAAGCTGAAACAGCGCCCAGGCGAACCAACTGACTCCTGGCTTAATCGCCTTATGGAGGATGGCACGTGTGATATAGCCATAGATGCCGGTGATGCCATGAGATTTTCAGGATTAAGTACTGATGCACAGATAAATGCTGAATACCGGGCTACAGTCCGGGCATTGCCAGCTGATGAAGATTTCAATGTGGGGGATGCATATGCTCTGGCATGTCATGTAATCTATCCTACCACGGCGGACTGGTCTGAGATTAAAGGGCAATGGCAGACAGTGAGAGATGCCATTCAGCGGCTCACCAGACTCACTATTAGAGAGCAAGTGGCTCGAAACGGGGGAGCTGGAGTGGTGGACTGTAACATCTCTAAGGCAACTAGAGATCACCTCATCAGACATGCCCCACCACATTATAAACCCATGGTGACCAGCTTGTTGTTTGGCGCGGCAGACCAGACTTTTGCCGCGATAAAAGATCGTCTTGGCGAACTCACCACGCTGGGTGATTGGTCTGAGACGAGGAGAGAGGGAGCTAGAACTGAAAATAAACCCAGGATTGATCCACATTCAAGGGGTCGTAAAGGGGGGGCAATGGGCCCCTCTAGAACAGATCTGTGGAGGGCACTGCGACAAGCGGGAGTGCCGTTTGAGGAGATTGATGGATTGCCCACTAATGCATTGATGGAGAAATGCAGCCAAATGGGACTGAAGGTCCATTGTCAGTTCAGACATTGTCCTGAAAAGGACGACAGGATGTCTGTGTCAGAATTGGTTGGAATGTTGCAGAATGTGATCAGGGAGGTGGCGTCGAAGCCTGCTGAACCTTCCGCCCCTCCCAAGGAATCTTCAGAGGAGGAGAGTTCAGATGAGTGTTATCAGGTGGCGGCAGTGAAGCGTAGAAAGAAAAAACAGCACCGAAGGGAACATGATGATGAATAGGATGAAGGTCAAGCTCAGGTTGTTGCCAGTGCCTCAGGATGGTCAATAAATGATATCAGACCACATGTGGAATTACAGATTTATTGGAAAAAATCAGTACAGACAGTAATGGCATTGGTTGACACTGGGGCGGAGGCCTCGGTAATTCATGGCAATCCTGATAAAATAAAGGGAAACATTGTAGAAAAAGGAGTATCAATGCTCCACGAGCAAGTGGCAGACGTTCCAGAAATGGATGAAGTGCCTTTTGAGGTAAAACCAATCCAGGATTCTCCTGTGAAACTGGGGGTAAGATGGAGCGAACTCACCCCAGAGCAGCAGGAGCGAGCCTGGTTCACTGATGGTTCCTGTCAATATGTGGCAGGAACCAGGAAATGGAAGGCTGGGGCATTTAACCCTGGTACACAACAAGTTATGGAACTCACAGGGACAGGAAAGAGTAGTCAATGGGCGGAGTTGAAAGCAGTACACATGGTAATAATGACGGCTGGGGTGCAGGGAGTAAGTATTTATACTGACTCCTGGTCAGTAGCCCAAGGAATGTTAACTTGGATGCCAACTTGGCATGCTACACAATGGAAGATACATTCAAAAGAGGTTTGGGGAGCTGACCTATGGAAGGACATTTGGGAGAAATGCCAAAATATTCCTGTGTCAGTATTACATGTGGATGCTCATACTAATAACAATGATCCTGAATCCCTGCATAATCAGACTGTAGATAAGATAGTGAAAATTCAGGCTGTAAGACAATCAAGTCCTGGATTAGCCAAATGGGCTCACGTTACTGCTGGACATTGGGGTGTGCAGGGAACATTGAAATGGGCGAGGGACAGAGGAATAGATCTCATCATTGATGATATTAAAACTGCCATAGAAGATTGTGAACCTTGTCAACATCAGGAAAAGAGAATCCCTCGACATATACAGGGACAGATACATCGAGGTAAACAAGCGGGACAGTGTTGGCAGATTGATTTCATTGGACCATTGCCAAAAAGTAAAAACTGTAAGT